TAACTATTATTAATAGGTATGAGTATATATTACATTAAAAAATATAATATGTAAATAAAATATAAAAGTTGTTATAACTTTATTATTTATTTCCATCTTTTTTTTTGTTTTAAATAAGTCGGTTTTGAATTTGATTTGTAGTTTGGCATTATAAAAAATTTTAAAAAAATTGCATATAAAAATATTATAAAAAAATTTCATACAAAAATATATACTTGCATTTTACTTCTACTTTTTTTTTTTAATCACGGTACGTATGAGTAATTTTAAGCGCTAGCTTGCATTTTACTACATAGTCGTATGTATATAGTATGTACTGTATTATATGTGAATATATGCAAATTAATATGTAGTCAAAAATATTTATATTTTATTTCAATTTAAATTTTTTATTTTGCCTGTAGCACCCATTTTTATGTATTTAAAAAATTATATAAATAAAAAAATCGTCAAGAACGTAGTGTTTTTTATATATATTATTTATAAAAAAAATTTTTTTTGTACTACCTCCTTTCAACCAAAAAAAAAAATAATGCAAATATGAAGTTATGCATATTTATGCAGTTGAAAAATGTATGCTACTGGCAATTGCAAAAATGTTTTAAACTAAAAAATTGGAAAAATAAAGAAGCAACATTTTTCATATCAACCGCAATAACCAGGCACAACATCACTTTGACTATTTCCACTACCAGCTACCATATTTTACACCTTGGCCACGCAACCACAATAAAGCATAAAGCACCACCCACAATATAAAAAGGCCAGCAACTAGCAACTGGCAACTAGCAACTGGCAACTTCAAAGTGCCAACTGCCAGTGTGACTGCAATACATTTTGTTTTTCTTCCTTTTTCGTTTCTTCCTTTCTTGCTCTCCTTTTTTGTGTTCTGTGATATTGTTAACATACGTTTTGGCCACTTAGCTACTTTATTTGTTGTTGCAGGCAACAAATGCTGCTCCTCCGCCTGTGAGATTAATCATAGCATTTTTTTGCAATTTATGTGGAAATATTTTTTTTTGTAACATTGCCACAACATGGCAAAAGTACCACAATTCATCACTCGTCAGTTTTGCGATAATTCTTTTGGCTCAGCTCATTTTACCTTTACATTTTTTTGCTGTTTTGCTAGAAAATTGGAAAAGGTTGGTTTGGTTTGGAGTGGTACGGTACGGTGTGGTTTCGTTTGGACCAACATGATCGCACCAGAGTGTTTGTGGTTTAACCGTTACCATTGCCATGTGGTATTTGGCTTTTTTCCCGTTTTGTTGTTAATGCACCATACAAGCCGTTAAAATTGTTGTAAGCCTGAAACTTTTTATTTTCATATAAGTTTTTTTTTTGTTTTTGTGCTTTTCACCTTTTTCTTTGGCCAAATAAACATTATTTATGGCACACATGGGGGTTCCACAGCAACTAAACAACAACAACAACTATTTATCATGTAAATAATGTAACAGAAATGTTTGTGCCAGCAAAACTTTTAACATCAATTTCTGTTACTTTTATTAAAGCAATTTTTATTTATATTTTTTATAACTAATATTTTCTTCTTCAATGAAAAAAAAAATATGGGATATATTGTGGAATTGTTTTTTAGAGAGTGCATAACTTTTTTCCGTACATAAATTTATTTATATTTGAAATTTGTTTTATAATAAATAACTTTTAGTTATAACTAGTAAATTGGTTTTTACCTCTCTGCTTTCTTCCTCTGACACTAACAAATTTATTAACTTTTCATATTCGTTTAGAATTTTTAAACAATTTATACAAAACAACTATGAATTCTATTCTTTTGAATTGATTTTTCATATAGTATATAACAAAGTTAATATTCAACTATTTATATTCAAATAGTTTTTAAATATATGAAAAAATATACTTGATTTGTATTATCACAAGAATATTGCTGCTAACACGAAAAGAGAGTTCTGCTGAGAACCCACAATATAAATGCAGTACACTTCTAGAAGGTAATATTTGCTAATAGTCATAGTGACGAATGCAAGACACTTAGAGAGCTGGAAATAAAATAGACTTTGAAACATCTCTTATACTTATATTCTACATTGTCTCAATACGCTTAAAATGTTTAGAGACTTCTCAAAAAATGTTCCTTCAACTCACCAAAAACCTCAACATTCTATATATAACATCTACTAACATATAAATAGCCGTTAAACTCCATACGGTATCTATAGAGGGCAATAAGTCAGTGTATAGCTTACGGCCAGCACATTAGAGTACTTATAGTGTAGTATCTAAAAACGTAAATATGCTTTTCCTTTTAACATTTAACGTTGTCTCGGGTACTACGATAAGCAAAGATCTAAACCTATTAAATTCCTAAGCAACCATTAAAAAGGCGTCACAGAAATACCCGCATTTGTTTTCTCAAGCATATTAGCAAAATTGTAATGAAGCACTTATAGTGTGAATATGCGTTTCCTTTGTTTTGCTTTCCTAGTAGATACTGTGACAATTAGAAAGAAATATAAACCTTCTAATAAAACTTGAACTAACATTTCAAAACCTTTACAGAAACTCATCAAAACTACCCAGCCCATCAACTATACCCATCAACTATTTTCTGAACTTTGCATCTATTATTATTTAATTACTAAACAGATGAAGAAATATTCAGACTTTAGAACACTATCGAGACTACAATTTCTTATTAAAGACAAATTGAAATTGAAATTGTTTGGCATTAAACACCATTGATAAATCTGTATGTCCAGACTTATTTCAATCAATAAATTTGTTAATAGATTTGTAGCCGTATTATAGCTCTATGAATCGTATTTAGAGAAATACAAAGAAAGAGAAGAAAAACGACACCAACTGCTTGTATGGAAATACCGAAACAGACCACACGGTAATAACTCGATAATTGAATGTCCAAACTAATTGCCTAGATTCTTTAAGTTAACTATATCTTACACAGATGCTACTAAGAATGTTTTTACGTGTATAAAGATAGTAAGGGAAGGATAAAGATTCCAACAGCGTTTATGGAGATACTGAAACAAATGGCATGTACCAAATTTCCTCTTTTTATGCACTTAATTCACTCAGCTATTAACTAAACTAAAATGTGTACATTACACAGTGCCATAAAAGAATAAAAATATGATGCTTTCATACAGCACTAATGGCAATACTATTAATGCCATTAAGCTTGAAAATTATAATAGAGAATCTTTCAATAAAAAGTGCAAGTATTAAAAATAGACAATTTTTCCGTATTCAAATTTTATTATGACATGAAAATATTTCAGTCCATATTCCATCTGTAGATGAGCTAAATTTCTCTAAGAAATGAGAGCAAAGAAAACAATTAATAGTAATAACGAAATCATATATAAAAATAACCTTAATTTTTATATAAATAAATAAATACATAATGTAATTAAAAAATTAAGTTTTCTGAAACTATAAAACTTCTTAAAAACATTTCTTTTTTAATTTGAAATTTTGTATATTTAATGCTTATTTTACATTTTCACCAAAATATAGAATTTAGTTCACAGAAAGCTTTTATTTTTATTTTTTATTTGTTATTTTTATATATTTTTATAAATTTTTATTTTTCTTAAATTTTTTTCTGCAATCTCTTTATTTTCTTAACTTTAACTGAATTTTTAAGGCAGACATTAACCCATTTTGCACAGCGGGTATACAAATATTCGACTGCAAACTGTTCATCCACACTCTTCCCAATTTCATGTCTGTCACAAAGTAATCGTCACTGTAACATGGCCAGTGGATGGCTCTCAGCACAGCAACAAGAACAGCAGGTTCCTTTCAAGCTTCGTATAGAAGTCATAAACAAATTTTCGAAAATCAAATTCAAATGAACTCTTCAAACATTAACTACGGTCATTAAAATTGACGCTTTTTTATAGCTTTAAGAAAAAATTATATTCAAAAGTTTTAGCCAAATTTCGTTGGAAACTATTTGCTAAATTTACCAAAAATACGAAACAAAAGAGCAGAACTTCTACTTCTCAAATTCGAATCGCTAAAACCGTTTGCCTTTTGCATACTAAATTTCATTTTATTTACGAAAAAAATAAAAAATCCCATAAATCAAAATTCATTGAGAAAAGTCAAAAACTCACAAATACTAAAACTAAAATACAAATTAAAAATAAAAAAATATTATTCTTATTATTGGTGTTGTTGTTGTTGTGTTATATATTGTTAACTGAACTTCTTGAAAAGGAAGACCAAGACCATAAACAATTTGGAAGCAGTAGAAAAGGTGCCACTAAATATTTTTGAAATATGAAATATCGAAGCATAAAAATGTAAATTTTTTAAATGTAGCACATATCATTAAGAAAGCATAAAAAAATAATCCCAAACTAAAATAAAATAAATTAAAAATAAAAATAAATAAAGCCGACATATTCAGTAACTTTCAATAAAAGCGCAGTAGATCTGCCAAAAACCAAAGATTGCCGTTTAGAACTTCTCAAGTAGGCTTCGTCGCACAGAAACAAAATTAAATAAAATAAAATGAAATAAAAAGGATATTCGGGCATGCGTACTACTTGTAAAAAGGCCCATAAATGTGGTTCAATCCGGTACGCTCAACTATCAATAGGTTTCGTTGCGTTCCGTGTCTTTTGTTTTGGGTTCGCACATAAAATCACTAAAGAATAAAGTTACTAAAATATAAAGCGCAGATCATAAAATTTTATAATCTCACAACCATTGATGATGCGGATCAACATAAAATTTTTTTTTACTACAAATTTTAGCAACTACAGAAATCAATTTCAAAAAGAAAACCTTTACTTTTTATTTGTAAAAACTGTTTTTTTCTCTTTTAAAACATAAAGTCTATTTTATGCATTTTATGTTTCGGTTCTCAGGCTCTTACAATCACTGTGACTCCTTTGAACATCGAAAAAAATAAGTACATTTTCTCTTTAAAAAGGTGACCATCTCTAGATAACTAACACTTATCGTTTTTTCTTCTATTTCAGGTTTGGTTTCAAAACAAACGTTCAAAAGAGCGGCGCATGAAACAAATCACAAGTATGGGCCGCCCACCTTTCTTTGGTGGCGCACGTAAAATGCGTGGCTTTCCTATGAACTTATCGCCTGGTGGCCTGGATGATGGCGGTTTTCCATACTTTGCGGCTGATGGAAAATTTGAATTTGGTTATGGTGGTCCACCGTTTCATCCGCATGATGGGCCATTTTTTCCCGGACATCCAGGTGGACCAATGCCGTTCAATACACCAGGTGAGTTGCAAGTACGAAATATTTATACAATATAAAATTATAAATTTTATGATAAAACTCTATAAAATATCTTTGTTTTTTATATTATTTGCACTTTTTATTGCATCTAGAAAGTGTATATAGATGGTATATTTATGCACTTTCTTCTCGTATTATTTGTACGGAATAATCCGAATTTTACTGATTTCATTTAGTTTTATTTATTTCTTATCCACAATAATATTGGATATTATTATTTTATCTATATAGAATAGTATTAAACATAGTTGACTTTTAAATAGATTAGTATGAGCTTTCATTTTTATTGTTATATATATCTGTTATATATTAATTAATATATATTAATATAGCATTATCTTGTATTCAGACGAGAGTTTTGTTTGTAATTTTAGCTGTCAAAAATGTTCATTTTGCATTTAAAGCCATATGAATTGACAGCTAAAATTACAAACATGAGAGCCAAAATTACAAACAAAACGGTCGTGAAAAGCCAATATTTGCTAAAACGATTTTGACCTACATAATTCAAAGACACAGTTGGTATTCAGACCTAATTCAATGGGTGACAGCATTTTTTCTATTTCTCTTAGTAACTATTATGTCTACTGAATATTAGCTTGAAAGTTAACTAATTAAAATAGTTCGAGTTTACATATTATCGTTTATTATTGAGTTATAATACTATGCCTGAAGAATCAAAGAACCTTAGCTAGTAGGATTTTAATTTAAATAAACTTAGCTATTTGGTATTCAAACCTAGTTTAATATCTCCGTAAATCGGTAAAGTAATACAATAACAAATGTCTAAAAGCCACTTTTCAACTCACTGTTTAGTAATAATAGTAATATAGAAATAATTACATAAACAATACACTTTGTTAATACACATTATTAATTTACCATATTTGGTGAATAACTTTATCCTACGCACAATGACAATAAACAAGACATTATACTTTATATGTTGACTACCAATATTTTAAATAAAAAGTACAGTACAAAGAAAAAAATTATTAACTTATTGAAAAACACAAAATTTTGGCTAAGAGAAAAAATGGCTTATTTTTATATGTAAATAAAAAATAAAATAAAAACTAAATGTAAATACAAAAAATGACATACCTTTGTTGTGAATGATATATATTTACTGTTTCTATATACCATATATGTTAATAAAATATATTTAAAAAAACTAGTTATTTCTTTGCACATAGTAAATAAAAATTAAAGTTAAATAAACACAATTCGCAATTTAACTTTGACTTATTAACACTTTTATTGAAACAATAAGTTTAGGTTTTGATTTTATAACACAAAAAAAAATTTCAAATTTATTTTCTTTTACTTTTCGTATTCAAACACACAAAAGCAACATCGTTGCTCCTTTTTTCTTTCTCCTTTTTTCTCTATTAACAGATTTAGGCGCGTAATTGCAACTGCAATTGGCACTAACGAGTAGTTGTTTTTGTTTTCCACGCATATGAGCTTGGATATTCTTTGTTATTTTAGAAAAAAATTATTTAAATATACATATGGCTGAAGGTATTATTATTTTTAGCATTTCATTTATATTAAGAGTATATTTATTTACCATTTGTATAATCTGAGTACTAGAAGTAGGCATGAAAGTTCATAGAACACTTTAAAATAATATTAAACAATATTTTATTTTGACTTTATATTGTTTAACACTTATTTTGTTAATTATTCAATTAAACTCTATTCTTTTTATTAAACTTTAAATAAGTTTACACATCAAAATTAATGTAACTAATATTATTCCTCAAAAACCGAAACGTTTAAAGCCGTGTTGTGTCCTAAACCGAACTAATCTTATAACCTTTTCACTCCAGTGTTTTTTTACGCATTTTGTCTTTACTGTTGTTTTTTCTCTGCAATGAATAAATTTCGTACTTGACGTCACTGATTTTAATTCATCATTCATTTTACATAACATATGCGTTCATGTGTCAAACAATGCAAAATTATAATGGAAGTTTTTGTTTGAACTTATAACTACATAATTTATATGTATTTCTTAAATAAAAATATTTCGTATTTATATACAATTTATTTTAATTTTACTGTACTGTACCAAGACAGTACAGTTAAGATGTTGAGAGATATTCATATTTTAAATCTATTTTGTCTTTATTTAGCCCCTTAGCAAAGCAAATTTGACATAATAGAGTACTATATTCTAAAGGAAGTTAAAAGTTAAGATCATACATAATGCAATAGGCCAACAAATCTAAGAATAACAGTTTTCTTTTAACCTATTTAAAATAATTTCTATATGTATTTAATTATATGTTATCATATTATAAAAATACAAAAATAAATTTTTCAATTTATTAAATTCAAAAACATTATTATAATTTTTTTTTTTTAATTGATTTTAGGCGGCCCCATGGATCACACCGGTCCCATACCAATGGTCAATGAATTTGGCTTAACGCCCGAATCAAATTTTCTAAGTCAAGCAGGTGGTCCACCAATGAATATACAATCGGCAGGTGGACCACCACCTCCGCCAGAACACTTATTAGCGCAACAACAACAGCAACAGAATCAACAACAAAATGGCCCGCGTTCAGCTTCACCCGAATTCCTAACCGCAGCGAACTTTAGTGAACCGCAAAATATGCAAAACGAAGGACTTGTTTGGTAATACACAAGACAACTGGCAAATCGTCTGCTATTATTACAGCAGACGTTAGCCACTCAACAACAACAACAGCAACACCAACAATACGAACAATAGCAACAATACTAAAAATAATAACCGCAACAACAATAACAATAACAGTTAATGCTACTATTACTTCAACAACTACAACTACAACAACAACAACAACAAATGTCATCATAGAGTAAACGAACCCAAATAGAGAAAGAAAAAAAATTATGAAAAAAATAATTAACATTCAAAATGGCGTTTCATCATTTAAACAAATATGCAATTTAATAACAAAATGGCTGCTTTTTTGATAATTCTTGCTGAAGCGTGAAAATAAACAACAAACAAAATTGTATATTAAATATATTTACATATACCATATATGCATACATTCATAAATGCATATGACTAATAGAATGTGTAAAAAATTTAAATTATTAAAATGATAAATTGTGAAAACTTAAATTATTTGCATGAATCGTAAATACGCTAGCAAAATTGTGAAAGGCAAAAAAATGTTTATTAAAATATCAAATTGACAAGGTAAATGCGTGCGAAACAGTTAAAATCATATATAAAATATTTGTATTTTGTGTATAAAAAATGATAGTAAATAATGTTTAAATATGTCTACACATATATTGATATAAAAAAAAAAATTGTAAATTTATAGATTTTTATGTTGTCAAACAACGTTTTTAAGTTTTTCCCCTTTTTATATATGTAAATTGTATTTAAATCCCTTTTCGTTTTTATTTATTTTTTAAGATGTGTAATTATATATATTTATAAAATAAATTAAATAAATGAAAAAACTAAATAAATTAAATAAATAAAGCTTATTAAAATTTATTATTGTAAAATGTATAAAGTAATTAGTATTAGATTAATGTGTAAGTATATAATTATTATCTAAATATAAATATTTATCATCAAATATAACAAACAACAAAAAACAAAAAATAATACAAAATGATAAAAAATTAAATAAATGAATAAACAAATTGTTAACTATATGTACTTCTTTTATTTACTAAAAATAGAGAGGTTTTCTACAAAAAAATGTTTGTGACTTAATATTTTTATTTTATCATTAATGTTGTGTGGTAAATTTTTTATATATATTCTTATTCAGTGTTTTGTGTTACTGAGTTCTTTCTGTACTAAAATCTTTAATAAAAGATGGGAAGACTCAACGATATACAGGCATCAGTATGCAATCTGCCCACGTTTCGATAAAAGGAAATTTAAAATTCTCATTGAGATACCTCGTAGAGATATAGGTCTTTTGATAGGTTTATTTACAGGTCATTATAGACTAGGAACGCATGCTAGAAGATTAGTTCTCTCTTTCAATCAAATCTATCGCAGCTGTGGGGAGATGATGAAAGTGCCTCTCATGTACTATTGTTTTGCCCAGCTCATGCACGACTGCGACTTAATACTTTAGGAGCACCCTTTTTTGACGACCTAGAATAATTACAGGACCTGACACTAAATAACATCTTATGCTTCGCTAAAGGTTCTAGATGATTTTGGACCCTGAGGTTTTTTCTATATATACGGTCACACAATGGGCCAATAGGCCTAAGTTGATTCACTAAAGATCGCTGGTATAACCTAACCTATTCAGTGTTTTTACTGTAGTTGGCTATCACTTGTTTTTTACTGTTTATATATTTAGGATACATTGAGCACTGATTGCAAATGTGAGTAATGTGATGGACTTTATTTTGTTGTACAAATTCAATTATATTAAGCAATTCATATGAAGAATGTTGTCTATTTCTGTATATACTTTTGAGGTAAATTGGGTTCCGATACCAAAAGTGAGTAAATGGATCAATTTATATAATAGGACAACCAATAATTATTAAATTAATTGAGAATGAATTACCAACTTATTGTTATCATTACCAATCTGTATACTCTTGTTATACTCGTTTTCTATCTTTCAGTTGTATTTTATTAAAACATAAAACTAAACACAATAAGGTAAGCCGACTAAATTGATAAAAGTGTTTTCTATGTCTAGCTCACAAGAGTTATTTTGGAAAAATCGACACCCCACAGAATTGTTAGATCCTAAAATACATTTCAATTAAAACGTTTCGTCATTCGATCGCGAAATCTTTTGTTTGCACAGACTTGAGATATCCATAACTTTCTACTTTTAACCGATCCTAAATCTGTGAGACATCGATGTAACGACCTTGAAAGCGAACGTCATTCGCTCACAGATAAGGTTCGTAAAAGTTGTCCAAAATCAGTTGCTCTACAAAAACTGATAATTCATACTGTGAAAATAAAGCAATCTTATTATATCTTGCACCACAGAGTTTTGTATTCTTTGGAACCCGAATAATTTGACAAAATCAAAAAATCAGACTGGAGGAATATCCTGGAAATACTTAAGATATACAATAGTGCTATCTCAAAAGACATGACAGATAAGGATTCATGGTTCTATGAGTATGGGCCTTAAATTAAAAAGCAGTCAACTACATTAGTTATTTATGGCAACCACCTCCTGTTTTTTGAAGAATTTTCCATGTAGACAGTTATTTTTCGCAGACAGTTATGTTCATCCAACTATTTTTTGTTCCTTGTAAATATTTTATGGATTATTAATCAGAAGTAGTCTTACGTTACCTAAAGAAAAACCTTTATTTTTGTTATAGAATATATTTCTAGCAATCATTAAAAATAATCTTCATATTAAATGCAAGAAGTTTCGAATTTTCGGAAGAAGTGTTTATGTAGTAGAGATTAAAGACCTTAAGTTTATTTAGCAATTAAATTATTTATTTATTATAATTAATTATAAAAATTTTATTAATAATATAAGAAAACAAGGACTAGCTGCCATTGCTTTGAGCTTGGGTATTACAAATTAAATTTTATTAACTAAATTACAGGCTTTAATAAATTTATGTATTAGAATTATATTTTGAATTATTTTTAATAGGCTAGTAGGTGCTATATTCCAAAAGATATTATTTCCAATAGCATTAAAAGTAGAGCAATTTTTAAGTATATAATCTATGGATGGTGGGCTATTATAAAACGGACAGTTAAATAGCCACTCAAGATGTATTCATAACAAAGCTATATATGTCCCATACAAATCGATACTGCGCTATTATAAAAAGGACACTTAACATAGATAGCTAACCACCACTCAAAGCGTACTCATGAGAAAGCGTTATATGTCCCATACGAATGGGCAAGTTGACTATTGCAAAAATGACATTTAAATGACTGATCGGCACTCAAAGCGTACTCATAAGAAAGATTTATATATCTTATACGAAACGGTGGTGGGGACAGTTAGATGACTGATCACTACTCAAACCGTACTCATAAAAAACCTTTGTATGCCCCATATGCAATCAAATAAATATTTGACATTGTTGACGGATGCATGATTATGGATACATTGCTTTTAATCCACTGGTATTACTCGACTGCTAGAGATGGTTGTACGCTGTCTATTCCATTGCTCTTGCATCTTTCATGTGTTTGTTTATAATGTTTAATATGTCTTTCTTGCATATGTATTGAATAAGAACACGTGTTGTATTGTTAGAATGTACTCTATATAAATAGTAATATATGGTATATAGTCTATTAAAAAGACAAAATTTATAGTTTATTGAGTTTATAACAATTCCTATGAATCTAATCTAATAGGGAAAATTATGAATTGTGATTGCATATAAAAATATAATTTTTATAAATAAATGTTAACAAATGAAATATCCTTTTAATCAGTACATGAACACGTATAACGAAAACATATTAAAGCTCAGCTGGATTCTGTAGCACGCCTGGCTACTAATGCTCACATTTTACAATATTGCAATTATGATCACAACACTATGGAAAGGAGCATAAAGGAACATTAAATTTAATGGCGACTACCGATAACACAACAAGTAAGCAAATAGTTTTTCACAACAAAAGGCAAGGATACGTGAACCGAGCACAGCAATTTTACAAGGAAACTAGCAAAATACATCGAAGCATGAGAAAAAAAGTGTTCCAAAAGGCAAAATGCACATTTATCAATCACAAATGTGGACACATGGAATCATCATTATCATCAGTCTTCTGCTGGCTGAACACCCTCTGACAGGCAACAATGTGCGAATATAAGAGGTACAAGCACAAGCATATCGACAGACAAAAAGTCGGACGGACAAATAACTGCGGATACAAACCGAACACCAAACACTGAGCACTGAACATCGAACACTGAACACTGGCATTCAGGATAACATGCACGCATCTGTAAAGCAGAACAGCAGAGTGTTTAGGTGAAATGCGTGTACGACAACAGGAATTATGAATTTATCGAACAATAGTTTGCAACTATAAAATGAACAGTCCAAAATTCCAAAAACAACAACCAGAATGTGTTTTGTTGTAAACATAAACACCGAATAGTTTTTGTATCTGAAAGTGATGAGAGTCAAAAGTGCGAATGGGGCTCACGTCGAATGATTGCACGGCATAGGCTTGGCACGATAATAAATATGCAATGCATTCACTGCACAGGCACAGATGTTAATGGTCTTGCTGCTGCTGCTGTTGATGTTGTTGCTATTATTGCTATTGTTGCCATTGTTGCCATTGTTGTGTTGGGTTTGTTGCCTTTATGTGACTATGAAAATGCCTAAAATAAAGTCATAGATAGCATAGATTCATAGCAGTGACAGGCCAGCAACAGCAACACCAACAGCAGCCAGTGTCTGCACATGCACAAATCCATATCGGCAGCAATGGACACCGCCTTAGTGTTAAGCGTGTAGGTGGTGACTTTATTGAGGGATACTCACGTAAGTTCGTGTGTAGATTCACATGAACTGTTACAGGCATGCTTGGTTGATCATTGCACAGCATCCGGATTTAAGCCCAACGCTGTGAACTATGACAGCGTCAATCGATGTAAGTTTGACATTTAATGTGCGTTTATATCGAGCGTTACCATCTAGTACGGCTTTGTTGGAGTTTCGAGTTTCGGCTACTGCTGCTAGTCACGTTGGATGCATTATTATTATTGTTGTTCAAAGGCTTTGCACAAACACCGCTTCAGCCGTATTGTCCATTT